CCTCCCTTTTGCCTTTTCCAGAAATTTTTTTTTCTAAAGGTGCATAAGTCCATCTTCAGTCTTCTGTATTCTTCAGATACAATTAATCTCTGAATTAATTACAGCTGCTAATCTCGCTGCTTAATAAGGAGCCCACAGTGTCTTTTTCATATTCAACTTAGCCTGATTTTTTTTCTGTTTGCTGATTTATTTAAAAGTATTTACTGATCTATATCTACGCAGAAATTTCTCTTACACAGTGTGCAAAGGGAAACAGTGGTCACCAGGATGCATTTTGTGGTGCTACAGAGTGCAAGTTAAAAGAATGCATCATCTAAAGGATAACTAGTGTTCCGGCTTGTCACACAGCCCTGGTGACTTTTGCCCTCCAAATGGTATAAAGGACTCTTTGGGGTGTGCAGAACCCTTCTGAGAGGATCAGGAACTCCCACCAAGGTCAGTCCTTTCCAGGATTTGTCCTTGAAATCAGCAGGAGCAGGACTGAGCCTCTTGGCAGCAACCTGTTTTGGGGATATTATAGATAACTGGTGGAGTGCAGCCTTTTTTTTTTCTTTTTTTTTTTTTTTTTTTACGAAAATGCACGTGTTTTTGTTCAAAGATGTTACAAAGGTTTGTGTGTTCCCAAAGCCTCCGCCCTGGCGCCAACGTGAAGGGTAGGAGACGACCATTAAGAAACATTGTACCTGATAGAGTTTGAAACCCCAAACGTGACTCGTGGCACAAGTCCTCGGTGGTGTCTGTGAGCAGTGATGCATCCTGATGTGCTGTGTTTGTTTTCCAAGCTTAAAGCCAAGCGACACTTTACGTGCAGAGTGGTGTGTGACAGGTTTCCCGTGGTGGGCGCCGTGTCTTCTCCTCTGTAACTGTTGTTTCCAGCACTCTGTTTTACAAAAGTGGGGATAAAGTAACTCTCTCTGTCGCGCTGCTCTGGTGGTAACTGCAGAGATGAATGATACACCTTTTAGTTTCTCATTAGGAGCCCTGCGTGTGGGAGAGTGGGGATCACTATTGCACAGCTCAAACTGTGCATTTTAGTTCAGCTGACTCTGGGCCAAAGCCAACCCCAAGTTGTTGTTCGTTTGCTCCGGGTCCTCTTGACCTCAGAGGTGCAGATTTGAACTCCTCTGCCCGATGGATAAAAGTTATCTGCAGGACTCTCAGATCAGACTGTAAGAACACTTTGGACTCCTGCCTCAGCTGCGAGTGCTGTTCCTGAACTGGAGAAAACCACTGTTGTTGTTTTTGGACTCTTTTTAGGATGGTGTGTACTGCTATCCCGTTCTATAACAGCCATATGTGACAGGCAGGGACTGGAGTTAACACTGAGTACTGGAGCAAGGAGGAAATACAGAGCAAACCTCTAATTGCACCCACTGGGCGGCTGAATTTGAGCAGAGTCACTCGGCTGCTGCTGGCCAGGGGACATCTGATTCTGTGTGGACCTGCCTTGACCCACCTGCCCACCCCAAAATGCACGTCACCACGGCGTCAGGAACCCGCGGATGAGCAGCAAGGAAGGTCCATCAGGACTCACCCCTGCATCCTCCCGTGGCTGCCTGGATCGCAGCTCCCCGTGGAGATGGAGATGGAGATGGAGATGGAGATGGAGATGGAGATGGAGATGGA